GTTTTAATTAAAAAATCCCGAGGTCGAGGCGCTGTGGAAGTTATCCAGGAGAGCGTGTGTTCAATTAAACTTCTGCTATGCCGAGCAAGAACAAAACGCCGATTTATATCTACTCATTACGCGTATACTGCGACCGCATTATACGCTACATAGTTGCAAACCACCGTACGAATACTAAAATGTATCTAAAACAACAAAAAAAACTTGATATACTCACCAAGATAAAAGCGTAATCTTAATAAAGAAACAAGTAAAGAAATAAAATTTTTAATAGACATCATTTTTATATCCTAAGACGAGACAAGGTTATATTTTTTCCAGAAAAAAAATCTATTGCAACAAAATGCCTTAAGACCAACACCAACATTAACATATATTTTTGTGTCTACCAGTTTGAGGGAATTGATTGAAAAGGCGTCTATAGTAGAACAATAATGGCAGAATATTTGGATTTTAGGAGAGCGTGCTCTTTTGTAAAAAAAAAATTACCACTTCAATCGATATATATCTCCTTATGAGATTGAATTCATTCAGAATAAATTAATGGCCATCTTCTTAAGTTACCAAATTGGGTTTAACGATTATCCGATAAACCACAGTAAATCGTGTTACACACAGTTATAGCTAAACTTTTAAGGAAGATTATTCAAGAAGTAAATTAGTTTGCTACACCTACTTACGTTAATCGGCTTTATTTTCAAATATATACTACTTTCCTCGTACTTTGAAAGTTGCACAAACTAAACCAGAAAAGAAACCAGAGGTTGTCTCTTTAAATCGATTCGTAAGCTTAGTCAAAAGACTAAGGCTTAGTATAATAAAAAATTAAAAAGAAAAAAATTCAAAGTTTTGTAACAAATATGGAACAACATTGGTTATTGAATAAAATGAACATACTCCTCAAAGTCAACAGATAATTTCGACATTTTGACGTTACTGTCTTAGCATCTCAGACTGGATCATAAAGTATTTAGACACACCAATCTAAAGAACTAGAAAAAAAATTGACGCATCAAAACATTGAAACAAAAAAACATAGACTTAAGATATATAGTACTTTTATAAGACTGCACCCATGCAAAAAATCTAATACATAGAACAGCATCCAGACTACACGTAACAATATCTATTCTTCTGCAAGCAGTATTTACTTTTCTACAAGCATTATCTCAATTCTGCATGCAATATCTAACCTACTCCTAGCAATATCTAGTTTTCTTAAGAATTTCTATAAGTCTGGTCTTTAACCACATTCAAGTAATATGTGGTCTTCCTCAAAGTGAAACAGGTTGTAGTCTTATTCATGCAGTATCTACTATTTATCACGCAATTAGTTTCTTCAATCAGCATTTATTGCTCTACTTACAGTATCTAATCTACCATTTGCAACATTTAGTTTTCTGGCAGTAGTGCCAGTCTTTTGTAAACAGTATCTAATTTTTCGCGATCAATATTTATCCTTGTATAAGCAGTATTTAGTTTTCTTTACCCAATATCTAGTCTACTCCTAGCAATATCTAGCTTTCTGCTATGAGAATCTTCTTTTTAGCCATATTCAAACAATATATGCTCTTCGTGAAAGTTCAAACGGGATATAGCCTTTTTCATGCAATATTTATTGTTTTTCAGGCAATTATTTTTTTCGAGCAGCATTAGTAGTATCTAGTTTTCTGGCGGCGTTACCTATTTTCTGTAAGAAGTATCAAATCTTATGCGATCTATATTTATTATTTTACAAGCAGTATTTAGTCTTCTGCACTCTGTTCGATTTTCTTAACGAATGTAACCAGACACCTGAGCGATATTCCACACAACTTAAAAAAGTTTGCTTATAATTTTGCGTAATCCAATAATAAACGAATTCCAACATCATGGTTAATAAACAAAAACGTTTTTTGACAATCTTCATGATGTGCTCAATAAAGTAAAATTTTCTGTTGCAAATATACAGGATTTCGGTGAAACAATAGCAATACAACTTAACTCCAAGAGTATAAAAGCTAATAAACCACGACAAACTGCTTGCTATCGTTTGATGTGAACTTTAAACTCTGCCAACCCTTCGGGTTAGTCCAACGAAGTAACATTTCAGTGGTACGTGAATTTACTGTAAATTTCAAGGTACCTGAGGAAGCCGAAGAAGCTGCAGGCAAATGAAAATGATTTGCCTTATGGAGATAGTGATACACCAGAAGCAGAAAAAGGTAACGCAGACAACAGGTAACACAGCAATTGATTTGTTTTCTGACCAGTATTCATTCAAGTGATGTAGCTTAGAGATATAAACTTAAAACAGATATAAAATTCAACCCCATATCATTATCTTTTCTGGAAATGAACACCAGATGTGATTTTAAAAGTTTTGATCCAAAATGCGTTAACATGTTTGGCTCAAATTGACCACAGTAAACATTCCACATTTATTGTAAAAAAATAATGATTGGTGGAATTTAACTTGATAATTAAGACCAATTGTCATTATGATATAAAATTATCATTTGAATATATTTGCTACACACCTGTTAAAAAAAATTATAATAAAATTAATCTCTAAATTGTTTACAACGAATAGAATCTATTGCGCAACCAATTCGCATAAATCTTAACTTATTCTTGAACAGTTCTGAAAAACAGAATCAAAACAAAGCTATTAAAAACATATATATCTAATTTCTAGTTTCGATCATAAACTATATAAATAAATTCTAATTCCGATAATTTAACCGATCAAAAATTTCAATATAAAACATCTTTTCATACATACATAAAAAAGTATTTCCTATCCTAAAGGTATGAAATCTCTATTTTTGATCGTAAACAAGCTTCGTAAAGTCATATTTCCCCTAGAATGTTATGATACACCAAAACCGAATTTCGAAGGGATTTGATTTCGACCCGACCGACACCTCGGCTTATCGGACGAGATTTACGCGTGTATTTTTTCCGAGCCAGGGGCCATCTGGCAGAGCCGATTTGACGTCTTCTCTGGGTAATACAATTTGCCCCCGCGCCGGAATGGGGGATATCGACGTCTACCCCGCCTAAAAACCTCAACACCCAGAGACGCGAGGCCGTCAAATGCAAAACTGTTTTTGCGTTGCCGTAAATTCGAGTCTTCGAGATGCTTTATGCGTTATCTCCGTTCAAGAAGGAGAAGTCCGATAAGGAGAACGAAGATGACGACGTAGAAAAAGGGGAGTTGGGTTGGAAAGAAAGTTCTCTCGAAAAGAAGGCAGCTCGTGAAATAATACCCAAAGAGATTAAGCTGATGTATGTCCCGCATCGTATTTAGTCTTCTGCGCTCAATATCTAGTGTGTGTCCAGCAATATCTCTTCTTCTTCTACACCCATATTCAAACAATACATACGTATTTGTTGCCCAAAATGGAATATGGCTCTAGTTTGGTCACCACAATATATACAGAATGGTCCATTTAGCGTGAGACAAGCGATTATCTCGAAAACGATTCATTTTACATAAAAATGAACCAAATGAACGTTGTTCTGTGCCAAGGGGGAAACCATACGACGATAACATTTTTTGACCTTGACCTTCTTTTCAAGGTCATATGAAGGTCACGACCAATTTTTTTAAACGGGACCCTATGTTTTTGATTGCAAAATCTAAATCTATGGTTAAAAGTAAAATAATAAAAAAAAGAAAAAAATTACCGTATGGTTTTGCCAGTACGACGGCGAAACATCCAGATAGATATTTCTCAAATATTTGTGTCTACGGTTGGACGGATCATACCCAGATCGTGGAACGGATTACAAATCTCTGCTTCAATGTCACAAGTTTTCTGTACTTTTTTGCACTGACCATTGTGTCAAGCTTTTACAGAAGTTAGTGTAAGGTGGATTTGATTGTGCTTGGTTGTTGTCGCGGATCACTTTCGCGATGCCCACGCGTACAATGAATTTTATCTGACGAACTGCAGATCCAACATTTTAGCTAACTCCCCGGTGCAGAGGATGTGTAAACTATCGAACAATAATAATGCAGTAGTGTCAAATGTAAAACTGCTTTTGCGTCGCCATAAATTCGAGTCTTCTAGATGCTTTATGCGTTATCTCCATTCAAGAAGGAGAAGTCCGTGGCGATAAGGAGAGCGAAGATGACGACGTAGAAAAAGGGGAGTTGGGTTGGAAAGAAAGTTCTTTCGAAAAGAAGGAAGCGGCAGCTCGTGAAATAATACCCGCGGAGATTAGGCTGACGTATGTCCCGCATCGTTTCGTATAGAAAAGTTTTCTTAAAAACATCAGTCGACGTCTTCATTCGTCCTTCGGCCGTACGTTTGCCGATTAAAATTGATAAGCTCTTTGAATATGCGGGCCCTATGCCGGTTATCTGTCGGAGAGACGTCGTTGAATATTCATGGATCCGTACGCGCCTCTTGTGCAATATAAACATGTCCTCACAGGCCATTGTGTGCGCCTCTAAACTCGATGCAAAACCGAGCCTTTCCGTGGCAATTTTTTATTTATTGCCTTGGGTTATAAACCGACAGATGTGCGTGGGAAGCACGCGTACGCGTTTGACCCCGTAGATGTTGATCTGAAGGAATTCCGAGATACGCGCGAGCGCGCGCTTGTAAATATTTTAGGGCCGAGAGCGTCATAATTTTCAGCGAGAACGCTTTCCGTGAAGCGCGACATCGAATAGGAATGTTGCGTTACGTTATATGCCATAACGGCCGGCCCTCGGGGTTGTAGATGACAGATAGTTCAAATTTTACGATTGCGATAGCGTTTGAACAGATTTTATATGCATATTGCGTCCGAACCCAACCCAAGTCAACAGAAAACACGATTCTGTGTTGAAAATCGACTCTCTTGTATATCTTTAAAGTCGTTAATCACGTTCTTATTCCTATATCAAAGGTTTCATCTCATGAACCAACTTAACTAAAGTATTTCATACACAGGATTCACCTATCTTGTTAATGAAGCATTCAACTGGAATTACACGAAGGATATCGGGTGTCCAATGCACTTACCTTAGTTAAGGGATCGACGTAAAGCATCTCCTCGACGGAAACGTAACAACGGAATCTGCAAACAACGAGAGACACCTGTGAGCATCAAATATCGTAAACCAACGGCATCCATAATTAAATTCAATTCAACGACATCACCATTACCGTCGTGATGCTTTAGTGTCGTAATAACAAACGTAATACGCGACGGGCGAATGGGCTACGGTTGTAAAAACCGTTAACGGCGTTTCATTTTTCCGGGATTATTTAAATTTTGCACTGTAGTAAAAGGCCCCGCGGAGATCGCTGCTTTTACAGCGTAGCGAATCGGACGGCGCACTGCCGAAGGGCGGTAATTTCGGATATGGGAAGCTGTATTGTGAAATGCGCTCATGCTGACGCCGAGTTATAAAGAGTTTACGGGCTTTAAGGCGTTTATAGCAACGTATGAGGGTTACGTGGCCTTTACTTATCACCACTTTCATCGTGTATCACATTTTTCAATAGCACTAAAGTCTACAATAAAACATCTCATTTTTCATTTTCCTTTATAAATCAGACTCAACTGTACTCTATTTCTTAATTCGGAGGACTGTTTTCAAATTAAAGCGCCAAAAAGAAGGGTTGCTATTGGTCAGTTTTAAGCAAAAATTACACTAGGAAAATTCGAGATGTTGCCGGCCGCCTAGAAACATTCGGGTTTAACCGCACGTCTCTCTGCATGGTTAAACCCGATATTTTCTAGTTGTAGGTCTAGTGTTAGTTCTAGATTTAGTGCAATAAAAATAGACATCTTAGTAATATTTTATGCTAACTAACGCTACCTACCACTGCCACTAGAACTAACACTAGACCGAGAACTAGAAACATTCGGATTTAGCCGCACGTCTCTCAAGACGGCTAAACCCGAATGATTCTAGTTCTAGGTCTTGTGTTAGTACTGGTTATAGTGCTAATTAGTGATGAAACAGATAGTGATTTTCCGAAAAGCCGGATACCGGATATTCGGCATCCCCTTCGGTCCGATATCCGGTTATCCGGCATATCTATCCGGCAATTATGGTTATAATTTCTGGTTCCTTACTGAAGTGATACCCTATATTGCCACATTATTGCGATGTTTGAATAAAATAGAAATTAATAAGAAAGTAAATAAGATATATCAACTTATTTGGATCCAAGAGACAAAACGAAATTTTTTGATGCTGATTTAACTAACGAAGCAACTCTAAAAAGAGGATACTTTAATTAATAATTGGCGATATGTCCACAATGATCCTTCAAGAAATGAATTTAATAGTGAATTTTGAAAATTATCGAGGAAAATTGCAACATCGAAAATTTTATCAAAACTTCAAATATTGTTTTCTCACAAACTAAAGTTATTTTTCAAACCGGGTTGGTTCATTGGAAAGAGGACCCTCTTATTAACACTTTGGAAAATTTTCATACTCATATTCCAAGAAATCGATTTTATATGAATTTTATATGACTTATTCGGCGAAAATTAAAAAATTCCATAAAATTGTCGATCATTTCAAAAATTTATTTCTCAAGAACTGAAAGTGATTTTTCAAATCGGCTTGTTGCGTTAAAAAGAGGATACTTTAATTAATAATCGAAAGTGATTACAGCGACAGTTGTGTTAATAATGAATGTGATGATGAATGAAGAGAAGAAAAAACTCGATGAAACTGCAACAAGTTATTTTATATATGAAACAAACGCAGTGGGCCCAGATGAAATTCCGGTCAAACTAATATAAGGCGTTGCAGATATTATTAGCAGACCTCTTATGTACATATATAACATGAGCATGGAACTTGTCAAGTATCCAGATCAGTGGAAAAAAGCTATAGTTATGCCTGTATTCAAAAAAGGACGTCACACCGTACATTGATATCCAATGTTTCTAAAGTTTTTGAGAAAGTCATTTCCAGCACAATTGTTACTTTTCTGGAATTAGACAATATTCTCACAGATAAACAAAATGCATACTTAAAAGGATGCAATACAGAACGTGACATCTATCAAATGACATCAGAAATAATAAAGAATTTAAATGAGGACGGCAAGAGAGTGGCTGGTTTGTATTTGGATTTGTCAAAGGCTTTTGATTCTCTAAAGACGAGTATATTAATGGAAAAATTATGGAATATGGGTATAAGAGGAACACCTCAGTGTCTAATTAATTCTTATCTGGTCGACAGAAAACAATGCGGTAAAATGAGAGGAAACGATGGTATGACAAGATCGATAATACCATATAGTGTGCCGAAAAATGGTTTGGTGCAAATAATCTTAGACTAAACACGAGCAAAATCGAAATAATAGAATATGCCATAACGAATTCAAGTGATGGGATCATGGTAAGGTATGCAGGCGAACAGTTGGTGTCTACCCACACTCTCAAATTCCTTGGTGTGATAATGGATAGTAACCTTCAATGGAAGCAACACATCGAATATTTGGCTGCTAAGATGGCCAAATATGTTTACCTTATCCAGCAAGTTAAAGCTAGATCATCCACTGGTGCAGGCTTACTCACTTATTACGGAACAGTGTACCCATTACTAAGATATGGTGTGATATTCTAGGGCTTTTCGTGTACTAAGTAATAGTGTAGTAAGTAATAGTAGCTTCGAGTACTAAGTAATAAGTTTTTAATATCCGGTCAAAGCGGATATTTGGTAACTATCCGGTATCCGGCCGGATTTAAAAAAATAGCCGGATAGTTGCTGGATATCCGTTCCACCACTAGTGCTAATGTAAAACTAGAACTAACACTAGACCTAGAACTAGAAACATTCAGGTTCAAAAAATAGAGTATAACTACTAAAACAATTTTAAAATTTACAAGGATACGTCAATCAATCTACAACATTCTTTTAATTAACATCGATATACGTACAACAGTAAATCACAAAACCATTACGGCAGCGTACATCCACACTGCTTAACCACTGCTCCAAAAAGCCAGGAGCTGTTATCGTCAACGACCGAGCAATACAGTGGAACACACGGAACTACGGCTCTCAACACCGACTCCACAAAAGCGTTGCACGCGTGACAGCTCCATTATTAAACGTTGAAAACTGTCCATGCAGCCGATAGTTCTCTGTAATCAAACAGGAAAACGAGAGAGAAGCAAACCCCGCGTCGGAAATGCACCGGGACGCGAAGGAAAGCATAAATTGCATGTGCACGACTACGACAACGGCGAAGACTCGTCTGCTATTTTTAAACTCCACGTCTAGCCGGACGAAGAGAACGCGTTTACGAATTTCTAATAGACGAGAGCAGAAGTCGCTTTAAATTTCTTCACGTTCGTAATAACCCGGAACTAGGCGCTTCTTTTATTGAAACCGATGGGCGAATAACGTTTTTCAAGGAGTCAAATTTCTTTCGGAACGAAATAGTGCGCTTCGCGTCTCTTGAGCAGTGTGTCGAAAGCAATCTCGCAAAAACGGTTCCTTTGTCGTTGGCGAAAATTTAATTCCAACGGATCCCGGCTTTTCGCTTTGCTATACGGCCCGACGAATCTATAAAAAGCCATTTAAGAGCTTCAGAGTCAGCGCCAACCCGCCACCTCTTCTTCTTCTTCTTTCGTTCAAAGTTTAAAAGCTGGCTTCGAAACCACAAGCGGACGAGACTGTTGAAAAAGACCACCCAACTACAAGCTTCGATACTTTTCCTAACTCAGCTAAGCCTTTTTTTAAGTTATCAACTTTGTTTCATTGTCGTAAAACAACTCGTACTTCTTTTAATACATTTTACAACTTTATAAAATCTTAAAAATTTTCTTTGTTACTGCGATGCAGATGTAAAAGTCTGGGTAATATATTCGGGTCGAGATTTGCACCGATTTACGACGCCTAATTGGACGCTCTAGTCGCGAACAACACGTGTTCGGAAGCATTTTCGTGTCGTGAATCGGACGAGTTTTCGCTATTTTCACCCGTTCGAAGTTCCAACAATTTTTCCAATTACGAACAGTTGTTTGGGTAATTAGGATCGAACGAATCCGGTCGTATTTCATAAGTAATTGGCCATCGATGTAGTTTATGATGGTATCCTGCTAACACAAAACAAAGAAATCTGAACCAAACGATCCCAATAAACCGATAATAAACGTTAAGATACGAGAACGTTTTTAACAGACACTTGAAACGTTATCCTAAAGTGTCAACTATATAAGTGCTTGAGTATAGGAAGTAAAGTAAAGTCACACTCAATCATTGGTTGAGGTGTTGGATATCCAAGCGACATGCACTCACAATCAGTTGGAGAGATGAGTTAATTTTGATGTAACCAGTTGAGAGAGACCGTTCGAATTGAACCGGCCTAATTTAATTTTCCCTTCGCGGAAATGTGGATTCCCTCGCCGATTACAATCGTCGATGCAGGACGACATTTCGATTAAGCCTCTTGGTCGAGATTCCAGTAGCACTCGCTTAATCTGATCGTAACAAAAACCCATTTCAAAAAACAATGGAAGTTACCACATTCGCTACCTCTATAAATACGCATTCAATGGACGTCGTTCGAACCTAAATTTCCTACAGATAACGGAAACCGTGCGTTGGCGAGTTCGCGCCAAACGAAAGGAACAATGGAGGATGTTCGGCTTTAAGACCTTGTTCCTCGAGTTACCGTCACGTGCGTATACAATAGAGTGGTTACAGGTGATTCTTTGTATATACAGTTGTTTCGATTGTCTAAGGAATGCTGTTGCGTTAAAATTAAATGTACTTAACCAGCGATACAGCGACTTATGCAAATTTTCATAAGGCGATAACGTCACATTTAAATTCCTCGGGTACTTAGGTAAGACCACAGGTGCACAAGACTTAAAACGGATAAATGCCAATTTACGTGACGACAAGAAACCAACTAAAAAAAGAAAAATTCCCATTTAACCTAAAAGAAGGAATTTGAAAGGATCTTGATTAGCCTGAACGAGAAATCGTAAAGAAAAAGACAGCTTCGTTATTGACACAGCGTTATATTCGTGTTTCCGAGCATTTTATGGCTTGTTGGCATCGAATTCAAGCAATCGTAAAATGCAGAAACCAC